CTTGCAAGTGCTCATAACAACGGGTCATGGGCAACCGCGTAGCGCACTGCCATGTCCGTCGGTTGCAGTCAGTGCTCCCCAGGTAGCATTGACCATTTTACGACAGCCTGCGGCTTCGAACATTGCAAGCTGGGACTGCAGGCGGCGCTTGGCCCACTTCTTCTGACAGCAACCTCTTGAAGGTTGCCAACGAGTGTGCAACAACATGCGGATGCAACCAGACTGCAAGCTGGTTTCCCTCTTGCTTTTGACTTCTCTGCGAACATCCAATCAGCCAAGGCCCGAGTAACCAATCCAAGCTGGTGGGACAAGTCTTTGGCAAGCATGGGTTTGTTGCGAGCAATAACGCAAACAACGGCGCAACGGAAGACACATGCCTCAACTGTTATGTCAAGCGAGCTCACCGGCGCGAGCATGCGCACTCGGAGCCACCCAGCAACGCGGTCAACCTCGTGCTGGGACACTGAGACTTGGGCTGCCCACGTGCGCAGCGCGCGCGTCACGCGCGTAATCATGAGGTCTTCGCTCAACGTCTCACACTGCAACAAGAAATCAGCACTGTCAGGAAGGCAAGGTCGCAAGCAAATTCTTCTATCTTGGGGTGCCCTATCGGCGTGCTGGCACAAGTCATCCTGCTCACGCGGATGCAAAGTAAGCGCGAAGCCACCTAGCAGCATGCAAAGGCAATGACACATGTGCAGCATCTTTGCAAGCCGCGGCGCAGCCGTCTTCGCCGAGAGCGGCGCGTAGGTTGGCAACCACGGTGTGAAGGCATGAGATAGTTTGTTTGCGCAGCTTTTGATATGGCAAGTTGCGACTTGACTGGAATATGGAAGGGTATTGAGCTATGGAAAGGAACTTCTTCAAGGGTTTGGGCCGGGCTGCCAGCCTAGCGCGCACGGTCAATCACATCAAGTCAATCTCTGGAATTGCTGGCCATGCAACTCAGCTTCTTTTCCCCGGGACTGCCGCCACTCGTGCCTGGTTTGAGCGCGACGTGCGCCAAGCACTAGTCGCCGCATGGGGAAGTGCGGTGCAGTCCTTTTGAACCTCACTGACTGCGGTGCCAAACTAACACCGAAAACACCAGCCAAGTAAAATCTTGCAATGAAGGAAAATGCCTGGTTCAAGCATCAAATTTGCCACATTTATGGCGAGATAGGCAATTGGACTAAAGGGAAACCGAAGGGACGGCATTTGTTTTGGGGGTTCCCGTAATTTGTGGTTTGGTTTCGCGGTTTAGAGGGTTTTATGGGATGCCATCCTCTAAGGGTTGGTGGACATGGAACCCCGCCTAGCAAGGGTCCGGAATGAAAAAGTCAATTTGGTTGGCTATGGGTCAAAACCAATGGGACCATTTCGGGGTAGGTGCACCACCCATTTTGGTCTATTTTAGCGGGGCTTGGGATGTTCACTGAGGGTATGGGCTTTTGACCAATGGCCATTTCTCCTTTTTCACGGCTTTAAGCACCACCTTTTGGGTCAAAACAAAGTTAGCTTCCTTGTGCGGCGATGCTTCGGGGTCTCCGATCCCAGGAGTACGTTCCTAGATAGCCAAGTTGCTGCTTTTTCAGTCACTGTTGCTGGTTTTCGGCTAAATTTCAATCAGAATCAGGGCATATCATTCTTGGAGTACCCCAGATGTGGGCCAAGTTTTCCTCAGGTGGGACACCCAACAACAACCCCCACAACCCTTTTGGAATCCTCCCCATCTGCGTCCTTGACTACCGACCTTGTTCGGGTGACGGGCGGTTCCTACAATTCGTTCCTGAAACCATTGTTGCTTGGTATTTAATGGGAAATCGTCATTGCAAGGTTTCTTGGATGATAGAGGATTTCCTCCATCCACAATATTAATACTGACATGGTTTTACTGTAATTACTTGTTTTGGGTGTTCATGTCAAGCTATGGGCTGCAGGTCGATGACAACCACATGTGGTGCGGCTTCCCGGCCAGGTCGCCACCTCTCCCAGAAAGGCAATCCATAGTCTCAACAAGTGTCGGTGTCACCGATCCGTGCTCACAATCAATCCGTCCACCAAACGGATAGTTGCCTGCCCTCGCAACACCAATCTTTTTGCAACACCAATTTAGTGGCAAAGGGCTTCGCCCGAAAATTAAGAGCCTCTGGGCCTTTTGATTAAAGAATTCGGGACTACAAAGATAATAAACCACCACGAAGGCGGTCTTCTAACACTGAACCAGAAGGGAGGCCATCCAATTCAGGCACTCCCCCAAAAAGCAAGCCCACCCCCCCCCCGCAACAGAAAAACAAAAAAAAGCGCCCCCTGCCCGGGCGTGCCCAAAAAAACAAAGGCACGACAAAAGCGCCCCCTGCCCAGGCGTGCCACAAAAACAAAGGCACGACCAAAGCGCCCCCTGCCCGTGCGTGCCCCAAAAAGCAAAGGCACGACCAAAGCGCCCCCTGCCCGGGCGTGCCCCAAAAAACAAAGGCACGACCAAAGCGCGGCCCCTGCCCGGGCGTGCCCCAAAAAACAAAGGCACAAAGCGCCCCCTGCCCGGGCGTGCCCCAAAAAACAAAGGCACGACCAAAGCGCCCCCTGCCCGGGCGCGCACCAAAAAACAAAGCCACGACCAAAGCGCGCCATGCCCGGGCGTACCCCAAAACACAAAGGCACGACCAAAGCGCCCCCTGCCCGGGCGTGCCACAAAAACAAAGGCACGACCAAAGCGCCCCCTGCCCGTGCGTGCCCCCAAAGCAAAGCCACGACCAATTGCGCGCTCATTTCCAGCGGGCGTTGCCCAAAAAACAAATTGCACGACAAAAGCACCCTGCCCTGTTGCGTGCCCAAAAACAAAGGCACGGCCAAAGCGCCCCCTGCCCCCAAAAACAAAGGCACGACCAAAGCGCCCCCTGCCCGGGCGACCAAAGCGCCCCCTGCCCGGGTGTGCCCCCAAAAACAAAGGACGACCAAAGCGACCCCTGCCCGGGCGTGCCCCAAAAGACAAAGGCACGACAAAAGCGCCGACCGGTCGACCGGTCGCCAAAAAAACAAAGGCACGACCAAAGCGCCCCCTGCCCGGGCGACCAAAGTGCCCCCTGCCCGGGTGTGCCCCAAAAAACAAAGGCACGACCAAAGCGCCCCCTGCCCGGGCGCCCAAAAAACAAAGGCCCCAAAAAACCAAGGCACGACCAAAGCGCCCCCTCCCCGGGCGTGCCCCAAAAAACAAAGGCACGACCAAAGCGCCCCCTGCCCAGGCTGTGCCTGCCCATGGCCCCAGAAAGAAAAACAAAGGCACGACGGCGAGGCCTTCGGGGCGGTGCCCCAAAAAACGGCCTTGCGACCAAGCGCCCCCCCCCTGCCCGGGCGTAGCCCCAAAAACAAAGGGCGTCGGACAAAGCGCCCCTCCCCGGGCATTGCCCTAACTAAAAAACAAAGGCCACGACCAAAGCGCCCCTGCCCAGGCGTGCCCTGCGTGCCCCAGAAAACAAAGGCACGACCAAAGCGCCCCCTGCCTGGGCGTGCCCCCAAAAAAAAAGGCACGACCAAAGCGCGGCCCCTGCCCAGGCGTGCCCCAAAAAACAAAGGCACAAAGCGCCCCCTGCCCAGGCGTGCCCCAAAAAACAAAGGCACGACCAAAGCGCCCCCTGCCCGGGCGCGCACCAAAAAACAAAGCCACGACCAAAGCGCGCCATGCCCGGGCGTAGCCCAAAACACAAAGGCACGCCCAAAGCGCCCCCTGCCCGGGCGTGCCACAAAAACAAAGGCACGACCAAAGCGCCCCCTGCCCGTGCGTGCCCCCAAAGCAAAGCCACGACCAAAGCGCCCCCTGCCCGGGCGTGCCCCAAAAAACAAAGGCACGACAAAAGCGCCCCCTGCCCGTGCGTGCCCCCAAAAACAAAGGCACGGCCAAGGCGCCCCCTGCCCCCAAAAACAAAGGCACGACCAAAGCGCCCCCTGCCCGGGCGTGCCTTCAAAAACAAAGGCACGACCAAAGCACCCCCTGCCCGGGCGTGCCCCAAAAAACAAACGCACGACCAAAGCGCCCCCTGCCCAGGCGAGCCCCAAAAAACAAACCCGGGCGTGCCCCAAAAAACAAAGGCACGACTCACGACCAAAGCGCCCCCTGCCCGGGCGCGCCCCAAAAAACAAAGGCACGACCAAAGCGCACCCTGCCTGGGCGTGCCCCAAAAAACAAAGGCACGACCAAAGCACCCCATGCCCGGGCGTGCCCCAAAAAAACAAAAGCACGACCAAAGCGCCCCCTGCCCGGGCGTGCCCCAAAAAACAAAGGCACGACCAAAGCGCCCCCTGCCCGGGCGTGCCCCACAAAACAGAGGCACGACCAAAGCGCCCCTCGCGGGCGTGCCCCAAAAAACAAAGGCACGACCAAAGTGCCCCCTGCCCAGGCGTGCCCTGCGTGCCCCAGAAAACAAAGGCACGACCAAAGCGCCCCCTGCCCGGGCGTGCCCCAAAAAACCAAGGCACGACCAAAGCGCCCCCTGCCCGGGCGTGCCCCAAAAAACCAAAGCGCCCCCTGCCCGGGCGTGCCCCAAAAAAAAAAGGCACGACCAAAGCGCCCCCTGCCCGGGCGCGCACCAAAAAACAAAGCCACGACCAAAGCGCGCCATGCCCGGCCGTACCCCAAAACACAAAGGCACGACCACAGCGCCCCCTGCCCGGCCGTGCCCCAAAAAACAAAGGCACGACTCACGACCAAAGCGCCCCCTGCCCGGGCATGCCCCAAAAAACAAAGGCACGACCAAAGCGCCCCCTGCCCGGGTGTGCCCCAAAAAACAAAGGCACGACCAAAACGCCCCCTGCCCGGGCGTGCCCCAAAAAACAAAGGACGACCAAAGCGACCCCTGCCCGGGCGTGCCCCAAAAACAAAGGCACGACCAAAGCGTCCCTTGCCCGGGCGTGCCCCAAAAAACAAAGGCACGACCAAAGCGCCCCTTGCCCAGGCGTCCCCCAAAAAACAAAGGCACGCCCCCTGCCCGGGCGTGCCCCAAAAAACAAAGGCACAACAAAAGCGCCCCCTGCCCGGGCGTGCCCCGAAGAACAAAGGCACGACCAAAGCGCCCCCTGCCTGGGCGTGCCCCAAAAAACAAGGCACGTCCAAAGCGCCCCCTGCCCGGGCGTGCACCAAAAAACAAAGCCACGACCAAAGCGCCCCCTGCCCGGGCGTCCCCAAAAAACAAAGGCACGACCAAAGCGCACCCTGCCCGGGCGTGCCCCAAAAAACAAAGGCACGACCAAAGCGCCCCCTGCCCGGGCGTGCCCCAAAAAACAAAGGCACGACCAAAGCGCGGGCGTGCCCCCCCCCAAAAAAAAAGGCACGACCAAAGCGCCCCCCTGCCCGGGCGTGCCCCAAAAAACAAAGGCACGACCAAAGCGCCCCCTGCCCGGGCGACCAAAGCGCCCCCTGCCCGCGTGTGCCCGAAAAAACAAAGGCACGACCAAAGTGCCCCCTGCCCGGGCGTGCCCCAAAAAACAAAGGCACGACCAAAGCGCCCCCTGCCCGGGCGCCCAAAAAACAAACGTGTCCACGGGCACCCTGACGGCCTCCGGCGCAGCAACGGCGGCGAGCTTCGCAGCCACCAGAGCGGTCACGGGCGCCACGCTGACGATCGCCGGGGCGGCGTCCGCGTGCCCGCTGGACTGCGAGAGCATGGACCACCTTCACGGCCACGAGCGGCGGAGCGTCGACGGGCAGCGTGGTGTGCGGCGACGTGACGACCAAAGCGCCCCCTGCCCGAGCGACCAAAGCGCCCCCTGCCCGGGTGTGCCCCAAAAAACAAAGGACGACCAAAGCGACCCCTGCCCGGGCGTGCCCCAAAAAACAAAGGCACGACCAAAGCGCCCCCTGCCCGAAAAAACAAAGGCACGACCAAAGCGCCCCCTGCCCGGGCGTGCCCCAAAAAAAAAAAGCACGACCAAAGCGCCCCAACCGGGCGTGCCCCCCAAAAAAAAAGGCACGACCAAAGCGCCCCCTGCCCGGGCGTGCCCCAAAAAACAAAGGCACAAAGCGCCCCCTGCCCGGGCCGTGCCCCAAAAAACAAAGGCACGACCAAAGCGCCCCCTGCCCGGGCGCGCACCAAAAAACAAAGCCACGACCAAAGCGCGCCATGCCCGGGCGTACCCCAAAACACAAAGGCACGACCAAAGCGCCCCCTGCCCGGCCAACCAAAGCGTTTTCTGTCGGGTGTGCGGGTGAGCCCCTGCCCGGGCGTGCCCCAAAAAACAAAGGCACGACCAAAGCGCCCCCTGCCCGGGCGCCCAAAAAACAAAGGCACGACCAAAGCGCCCCCTGCCCGGGCGACCAAAGCGCCCCCTGCCCGGGTGTGCACCAAAAAACAAAGGCACGACCAAAGTGCCCTGTGCCCGGGCGTGCCCCAAAAAACAAAGGCACGACCAAAGCGCCCCCTGCCCGGGCGCAGACCAAAGCGCCCCCTGCCCGGGCGACCAAAGCGCCCCCTGCCCGTGCCCCAAAAAACCAAGGCACGACCAAAGTGCCCCCTGCCCGGGCGCCCCAAAAAGCAAAGGCACGACCAAAGGCCCCCCTGCCCGGGCGCCCAAAAAACAAAGGCACGACCAAAGCGCCCCCTGCCCGGGCGACCAAAGCGCCCCCTGCCCGGGTGTGCCCCAAAAACAAAGGCACGACCAAAGTGCCCCTTGCCCGGGCGTGCCCCAAAAAACAAAGGCACGACCAAAGCGCCCCCTGCCCGGGCGCCCAAAAAAGAAAGCGCCCCCTGCCCGGGCGACCAAAGCGCCCCCTGCCCGGGTGTGCCCCAAAAAACAAAGGACGACCAAAGCGACCCCTGCCCGGGCGTGCCCCAAAAAACAAAGCGCCGACCGGTCGACCGGTCGCCCAAAAAACAAAGGCACGACCAAAGCGCCCCCTGCCCGGGCGACCAAAGCGCCCCCTGCCCGGGTGTGCCCCAAAAAAACAAAGGACGACCAAAGCGACCCCTGCCCGGGCGTGCCCCAAAAAACAAAGGCACGACCAAAGCGCCGACCGGATGGACCGGTCGCCCAAAAAACAAAGGCACGGACCAAAGCGCCCCTGCCGGGCGACCAAAGCGCCCCCTGCCCGGGTGTGCCCAAAAAACAAAGGACGAACCAAAGCGACCCCTGCCCGGGCGTGCCCCAAAAATCAAAGCGCCGACCGGTCGACCGGTCGCAAAAAAACAAGGCACGACCAAAGCGCCCCCCCTGCCGGGCGACCAAAGCGCCCCCTGCCGGGCGACCAAAGCGCAAAAACAAAGGACGACCCAAAGCGACCTGCCCGTGGCTTGCCCCCAAAACAAAGGCACGACCAAAGCGCCCCCTGCAGGGCGTGCCCCAAAAACACAAAGGCACGACCAAAGCGCCCCCTGCCCGGGCCCCCAAAAAAACAAAGGCACGACCAAAGCGCCCCTGCCGGGCGCCCCAAAAAAAACAACCAACCAGCCAGCCGACCGGTCGACCGGTCGCCCAAAAAACAAAGGCACGACCAAAGCGCCCCCTGCCCGGGCGACCAAAGCGCCCCCTGCCCGGGTGTGCCCCAAAAAACAAAGGACGACCAAAGTGCCCCCTGCCCGGTGTACCCCAAAAAACAAAGGCCTGCCCGGGCGTGCCCCAAAAAACAAAGGCACGACCAAAGCGCCGACCGGCCGACCGGTCGCCCAAAAAACAAAGGCACGACCAAAGCGCCCCCTGCCCGGGCGACCAAAGCGCCCCCTGCCCGGGTGTGCCCCAAAAAACAAAGGACGACCAAAGCGACCCCTGCCCGGGCGTGCCCCAAAAAACAAAGGCACGACCAAAGCGCCGACCGGTCGACCGGTCGCCCGCCTTCCGCAGGGCGCCCTTGGAGGCTTCGAACTTCTGGAGCGTCGAATTCCGGAGCCTCCGGCCGAGCGAGCCAGCGAGGCAAGAGAGGCGATGGACTCGGCGTCCCGACAACCAAATTCCACGCGAGGGCGGGAGGGGGGGGTTCTAAGCCCCCCGAAATGGGGTCTGGCTTCTTTTGTGACTGGCTTGGTGGTTTCCGGGATGTTTTGCTGTTTGGCCGCTATTTGTGTTTGTTTGGATGTGCGTTCAAGACACCCAGACTTTGGGCTGCCTCTGACAAGTTTGCACCAAAGGTTGACTACTGGGAGCGCAGCCTTGACCTCTGGCAGGAGTGCATGGCAACACATGAAGCCGACCTCCCACCGGCTGAGACTAAAGTGAATGGTGGTGCTTCTCAATTGCACCAAGTTTGGACTCACAAATAAAAGGTGATCACCTTTTCAGGCCATGACTAAAAGTGCACTCCAGAGGTTTTGGGCAAGTGAGGGGGTGCTTGGTGAGACCTTCTTCTGATTCATTGCAAAACTGTCAGTCCTTGCAAAATGCCCACAAAGATGTGGCTGGAAAGCACCTGGTACCTTGTTTGATTCAGCGCGGCCACTAGGATTGCCCGGCGTCTTCCTTTGTTCTGCACGTCTACAAATTGTGTGGCTTGCAGCACCCCCATTTGCGGACATGTCAGATTTGTGTAGTGGCTTTCCAATCAATCGTCATCCCATGTTCATCGGACCTTTTGAAACCCAATATTTTCAGTTTTGCTTTAGCCCCCTGGAAGAAATACACATAGGTGAAAAAAACTAGACCACGGTTGGCCCGAAAGCAGAACATCGCAAGCGAGGTCGGCCCAACGCTGCAGGATGCGTTCTTTTTCCCTACACGAAGCATTCGTGAAGCAAGCGCGAGACAGCACCAGGCAAGGTGCTCTGCGCAAACTGGTCGGTGCAAGTTGGTCTGCGCAAGTTGCTCTACGCAAGTTGCACTGTGCAAGTTGCTCTGCGCAAGTTGCTCCGCGCAAGTTGCTCCGGCAAGTTGGTCCCTGCAAGTGGCTCCCTGCAAGTTGCTCTGTGCAAATTGCGCTCCCTGCAAGTTGCTCTGTGCAAGCTGCTCTGTGCAAGTTGCTCTGTGCAAGTTGCTCTGCGTAAGTTGCTCTGCGCAAGTTGCTCTAGGCAAGGCGCTCTGCGCAAACTGGTCGGTGCAAGTTGGTCTGCGCAAGTTGCTCTGTGCAACTTGCTCTGCGCAAGTTGCTCTGCGCAAGTTGCTCTGCGCAAGTTGCTGTAAAATGCAAGTTGCATCTTGCGACGCCCGCCCGCGGACCAGGGAGGAATCGAACCCGCGACCCGCCGGTTCCGGGAGCAGGCGCGCGAACCACGAGACAACTCCCGAGGACCAGTTCGAACAACAAAAGTCGCAAAAAACCTCGAGTTTTTGCACCGCCACCATTTACGCGATTCCCGCAGAGGGTTGCGCGAGCACCGCGCAAAAAACCTGGGTTGCGCGGGCACCAAAAATCGCAAAAAACCATGGGTTTTTGCACCTCGACCACGCGATCCCCGCAGAGGGTCGCGAGAGCACCGCAGAAATCGCAAAAAACCCTGGGTTTTTGCACCTCGACCACGCCGATCCCCGCAGAGGGTCGCGCGGGAAGTTAGAAATCGCAAAAAAAACCATGGGTTTTTGCACCTCGACCACGCCGATCCCCGCAGAGGGTCGCGCGGGAACTGTTGGAAATCGCAAAAAACCATGGGTTTTTGCACCTCGACCACGCCGATCCCCGCAGAGGGTCGATTTTCGTGTAGTGTCGTCGGCACTACCCCGCCGCCCTAAGAAGAGATTTTAACTCCTCGCAAGTCAATTGCACTTGACTCCTGGCACTTGCAAGTTGCACTTGACTCCTTGCTTGTTTCAAGGAGTCATTGCAAGGAGTCATTGCAAGGAGTCATTGCAAGGAGTCATTGCAAGGAGTCATGGCAAGGAGTCATTGCAAGGAGTCATTGCAAGGAGTCTTTGCAAGGAGTCATGAGAGCCATTGCAAGTTGCAAGGAGCCAAGTGCATGGAGTCTAGTGCAAGTCGCAAGTGCACGGAGTCAAGTGCAAGTCGCAAGTGCACGGAGTTAAGTGCAAGTTGCAAGTGCAAGGAGCCAAGTGCAAGGAGCCAAGTGCAAGTGCATGAGTCAAGTGCAAGTTGCAAGTGCATGGAGTCAAGTGCAAAGTGCAAGTTGCAAGTGCAAGGAGTCAAGTGCAAGTTGCAATCCTTGCCATGACTCCTTGCAATGACTCCTTGCAATGACTCCTTGCAATGACTCCTTGCAATGACTCCTTGCAATGACTCCTTGCAATGCAATGACTCCTTGCAATGACTCCTTGCAATGACTCCTTGCAATGACTTGCAATGACTCCTTGCAATGACTCCTTGCAATGACTCCTTGCAATGACTCCTTGCAATGACTCCTTGCAATGACTCCTTGCAATGACTCCTTGCAATGACTCCTTGCAATCCTTGCACTTTCATGATGATGATTCCTTGCAATGACACCTTGTAATGACTCTCATGAGAACAACTCAAGTGAACCCAGCGGAAGAACCCTTCGCCATGCTTTCGGGAAATGCAAGTTGCATCTTGCGACGACCGCCCGCGGACCAGGGAGGAATCGAACCGGCGACCCGCCGGTTCCGGGAGCAGGCGCGCGAACCACGAGACAACTCCCGAGGACCGGTTCGAACAACAAAAGTCGCAAAAATTCCGAGTTTTTGCACCTCGCCCACGCCGATTCCCGCAGAAATCGCAAAAAACCATGGGTTTTTGCACCTCGACCACGCCGATCCCCGCAGAGCATCGCGCGGGCATGTTGGAAATCGCAAAAAACCATGGGTTTTTGCACCTCGACCACGCCGATCCCCGCAGAGGGTCGCGCGGGCATGTTGGAAATCGCAAAAAACCATGGGTTTTTGCACCTCGACCACGCCGATCCCCGCAGAGGGTCGCGCGAGCAGCAGAAATCGCAAAAAACCATGGGTTTTTGCACCTCGACCACGCCGATCCCCGCAGAGGGTCGCGCGGGCAGTTAGAAATCGCAAAAAACCATGGGTTTTTGCACCTCGACCACGCCGATCCCCGCAGAGGGTCGATTTTCGTGTAGTGTCGTCGGCACTACCCCGCCGCCCTAAGAAGAGATTTTAACTCCTCGCAAGTCAATTGCACTTGACTCCTTGCACTTGCAACTTGCACTCGACTCCTTACACTTGCAACTTGCACTTGACTCCATGCACTTGCAACTTGCACCTGACTCCTTGCACTTGCAACTTGCACTTGACTCCTTGCACTTGCAACTTGCACTTGACTCCATGCGCAGCTCGCAATGACTCTCATGACTCCTTGCAATGACTCCTTGCAATGACTCCACTCCTTGCAATGACTCCTTGCAATGACTCCTTGCAATCCTTGCAATGACTCCTTGCAATGACTCCTTGCAATGACTCCTTGCAATGGCTCCTTGCAATGACTCCTTGCAATGACTCCTTGCAATGACTCCTTGCAATGACTCCTTGCAATGACTCCTTGCAATGACTCCTTGCAATGACTCCTTGCAATGACTCCTTGCAATGACTCCTTGCAATGACTCCTTGCAATGACTCCTTGCAATGACTCCTTGCAATGACTCCGTGCAATGACTCCTTGCATTGACTTTCATGATGATGATTCCTTGCAATGACACCTTGTAATGACTCTCATGAGAACAACTCAAGTGAACCCAGCGGAAGAACCCTTCGCCATGCTTTCGGGAAAACCGTTAAAACCACCATGCAAGGGAAAATCAATTACAGATTCTTATGCAAAGGGAAGCAAATGAATCGTATGGCTCCAATGAACGACTGTCATGACATCCGGTCCCCGGTAGAAAAGAACGGCACCTCCCGTTTCGCTCAGAATCGAGCGGCGGAAACAAATGTTTTGCGTAACGGGGAAGGAACCGTTCACCGCAAATTCTCGCCATCTGAGCACTCCTACAGTCCTGTCGGTTCAACGCATTGTGAGCGTCGCACAACCAGAATTGCTCCCAAAAAAAACAAGCAATAGTTCCTATTGGAAACATGAATTCATCAAACGGCGATCATGGGCCGGCAGGCGTGAGTAAAAAGGCATTTGCATTGCTCCAAGCCACCTCTGGTCGCTTCGTGAGCTAGGCGGCCTTATGTGTCCCCTATAGTTAAGCCTCATCCTTCCAAAAGGGCACCCATTCTAAAATGGCCAAAAGGTGACCTTTGAATCACTCGCCATTGGATTCGCATGAGGACCCCCCAAGTCGTCGGTCAGTCCCTTCGACCCCCAAAACTCTAGTGCTATACCTTCCATTTCCATTCTTTCCAGGAATCCGAATCTTTCTAGAAAACCTCCTTTCTAGAAACCCAGGGAAACGGATCCGGTTTTCGAAAAGACCGATACGTTGGAAAGAATGGACAAGGAATCAAGCCTTAGAATCACACTTTCAGAAGTGAACATCCTCTACTCCCTTTAAAACACAATTATTTCAGGGAGGAATCCAGGGAGCAAACTCTGACAACAAACTGGGAATCAACGCCTTAGAAGAAGTAGAAAACAAGAAACGAGGCGCTTCTTCGCTTCGCTTCGAGCAGCCAGCTCTTCGAGGTGCTGTCAATCGGCAACTTGGTGATCGACTCACTCCGCTCGCTGGTGTGCATGCTGCTCAACTGGCGAGCAAGGCGGTGCACAGCCTACCCCAACCCAAACCCATGTCCAAAAAATCAGGGAGTTCTTCAATGGATTCATCGTGTTCCAGCAGTTGGTGTGGTTCACATGGCCTTAGCACAGATTAAATTGTCTAGACCTGTTGGAGGATGGCCATTCCCTCAAAAACCCAGATGTGAGCATGTTTGAGACCCATCTGCGTGTCAGTTTTGAGGGTACCCCTTTTAGTGGATTCAAAGGGACATCAACAGGAACACCCATCAATTATATATATATATATGTAGTTTTCGGGGGGTCGATTCCTTAAACAAGACGGGCCCCCCATTTACCTCTAAGGGCTTCAATTCCAAATCCAAACGGATCTGACCTGGACCTCTTCCTGGAGTCTCCACGACCCTTTAAAAATAGGGTCGTTACCCCCAAATAATGGGGTCATGGACCCACCTTTGAGGCTACCCCCTTTTTCTGGTTTCAAACAAGCCCCAAAAAGCACCGAAACTCCCGGCCCCGCTCCGATTCCAAGACCGGCCTGTTTGGCCCGCCGCAAAAAACCAGGTTGCCCCACAAGAAACCCCAAAGTGCCCTGGGGCTTTTGGCTGTTTTCTAACACTTGGATCTCGCGCTTCCGAGCGCTTCCACGCTCAGTAAGCGTAGACCCGCCTCCAAGACGTCGCCCACGGCAGGGCACGGCTGCACGTGGACGCTCTGGGGCCCGCCGAAGCTCTCGACGCGGATCAGCAGCGCTTCCACCGCGCTCTGCCTGGGTCTGCGACTGTCCGGCGCCGGTTCCCCGCGAGAGAAACTGGTGGCCTTGGGCAAGAGCCGAAGTAGTCCGTAAGGCAAGCGGTGAAATCGCCAAGCAAGCTATACGATGGCCGACTCTAATAGTAAGCATTAGTAAGCTACTAAGAAGTAAGCCAAGTTGTGAAAGGGGAACCAGTCGGCCATAAAATATCTAACATAAACCGGAGAAGCTAGGGGAGCTTGGTAAATAAGTAGGGCAAATCATAGGGCTTTAGGCGGTAACCCCTTGCAGAGAAGGCGTCCATCGGCTTCTCGTTGTCATGCGTGCACTTGGCTGACCAAAATGCGCAAACACAAACAAACTGGAAAGTAGACCAAACCAAACCGAGCCAAGCCTAATCATCCAAGCCAGCCAACCAGGTACCAAACAAACAAGCAATCACACAGGCAAACAAGCAAACAAACATAGATACATTCACACAAACACACTCACACTCTGTGAACTTCACTTGGAGCCGCACATTGTGTCCCTTCTCTCCGAAGAAGAATCAGACATCCAGGAGATAGTCCTTTTCAGATTCAGCGTTCCTTGTGTTGCTAGACGAGTTGCCAAGGAGAAAAGTTCGAGTGTCCAGTTGACACGTGCCTTGCCAGTGTTGCAAGTGCTTGCACCTCTGGCGTCGACGGCCATCTTGGTTTCCGGAACGTTCTGACATCGATCAGCTGCATTTGGGCAGCTGGCGACAACCAATCGCCTTCTTGGTCAGCTTCCCATGGTGAATCCATGAGCTTCAGAACGCCACACTGGGATCGTCTTGCGCGAAACACTGAAAGGATCCAATCACCCGCCAAGTAGTCAGAATGCAATCCGCCCTCTTTCAGAGCTTGGGTCTGTCCTCTGGGACCCCCCAAAAATGGCTTTGGGAGTCCTTTTGCTTTCCCTTTAACACCACGAAGACCCAGGTACCCTGAAAAAATCAAAACACACTCAAATGATGAGAGGCAACGGCCTGGAGAGGCAACGCAGTGTTTGGGTTGCAAGAAACCCAATTGCCTCAAACAGGTCCAAAGAAAGTTGGAAAATGATGGCCCGGGTATGATGGCCAGTCCTTTTCGGACAATAGATGGATTGCCCTGGTAGATGACTGAACCACCAGGCAAACCAGGGATCGCCCAACCAATTAGTTCAACCAAAAACCAACCAACAAGGACGCTGTGTATGACTGGCTGGCCAGTCCTTTGAAAGTCGCTCCCTTGGCCAGAGCCTGTTGCTTGCGTGTATAGATATATAATGCAGAGAAAAGTGTCCTGCGTAGAAATGCAAACATTGAATCCGAGAAACGGAAAAGCAAAAGGTGCGAATGTTGGACCCCTGAACCTGGCCAATCCTCTTTTTAGGAATCGGACAAATGGTGTCCAACCATAGCAAGACACACTCAAGAGTCGCTGTAAAATCCCAAAATACGTTCATACCATCTACACATTCGACATACTGTGGATGGTTGCGAAATCATCTTAGGCACCACTAAATGAAGCCGTCGCTGTAAAAAACCAAAATGATTTGGTACCCTCAACACATTCGACACACGCAATTCCCTTACCCCACCAGCCCTTGGCTTTGTCTTTTTCGCGCGCCGCGAGAACCGCCAAGGCGCCACTGCTCATGCTGGCCCTTCAACATGCGAATGCCTCGCCGTGCGACTCTTTTCGTTTTTTCCGGAAAAAAAGGGGCGGGGGGGGGGGGAAAGAGAAGAAAAAACAAATGAAAAAAAACGGCGAAGCCGCAACTTCCCTGGCAGAAGAGATCACTGAGATACTTCTTTGGGTCCGTTTTGGTTGGGCTGGCTTCCTTCTTACCAAAAGGGAAAAAGGGGATCCACCAAACAAGCTGAAAGGATGTAGACCATAGGTGACCTTTGGTTAAACATCTCGAGGGGTTTCCCTGGTAAATGGATGCAGAGATTCGTTGCGTTCGCATTGAAACCCTTGCAGGTCTGGCTTTGTGTGGAAAAGGCTTGTTGCTGAAGATGTAAAGTTTGAGTTCCATCTACCTAGATAGCCAAGTCGCGATCGCTTTTTTCAGTCACTGTTGCGATCGGTTTTTGGGGTTTTTGTTCGTGGAAAAAAGCGATCGCAACTGGCCATCCATCTAGGCCCCCGTCCCCCCAGGGAACTGGGAAGGATGCCACCGGGCCGGCCGGGAAAGTTGAGCTTCAAGTCTTCACGGGGCCCTTCGATGACCAAACCCGGGGCACATCCAAATGAGTCCTCTGATCCTTCCAGTAAGACCTGGCGACGAAATTAAATAGAGAACCGCCTTAAACGCAGTCGGTGGACATGAATCCCACCAACAATGATAAGACACATGCGAAAGGTCTGTCGAGGTCAAAAGGCCCACAAGGAAACCCATCTTCCGAGTGTGTCCAATCGGCATGTTTCAAAAAAGGTGAACCACCAAAATGATGGGTTTCTTGTTGTCTTGCCTGCAAACCAACCTTCAAAGAAATATATATATATATATATATGTATCTATATGTATCTATGTATATATATATATATTATATACGTGCATCCTCAAACAACACAACAAAGAGACATGTTGTTTCTCTCAGGCCCACAAAACCCGAAACCTATCCCTTCCTGATGATCCTATGGGCGGTGTAACCCTTCCTGATGATCCTATGGGCGGTGTTTGGTATCAGCACAGCTCCAGGGTTGAATTTACAGAGCTTCCCTTGTCCCTTGCAATATGTCATGCCTATTTGTAGGGGACGCGTCCCAGCAAATGGGTTTGGCTTCCTTCTGGTTTCCCCTTACTCAAAAACAGAAAATCAAGCCACCCGTCTTTGGGGGGCATCCGAATGCAAATGGTTTGGCGTCCTTCTGGTTTCTACCCTCAAAAAGGACGAGCCACCATTTTCTTGCAGATTCTCAGCAGGGAAAACCGGTACATTCCCAACACTCTAAAACTTAGGTCATTCTCTCGCTATCGGCACCCAAAACCCTGAGCAACCCTCCAAACTTGGGTGGTCACCTCGTGCAAAAACAAGGTCGCCGGCTGCCTCGCCGCCCTTGGCAATTCGGCAACCCTTTCGAGGTGTGTAAGACCGCCGTGTCGGAGGCAAGAAGGAATTTACTGTAACAGGGATCCTTAGATACCCCCCCTGAACATTGCCTTGCAAATGGTGGTGTCCCTTTGTTTTGGTGTTAAAAAAGGCATGTTTCAAATGGTTGCAAATTGTATCTTTTAAGGAGCCCTGTGTAATTTGCACTACTTTTTTAACATAATCATGTGGTTTGCCTCAGCCAAATCACCGTAAACCAAACCTTGTGTTCTCGGCGACATGATGCTCATTGCTCATGCAATTGGAGACCGAGAGCTGTCGAATGACACCTCTTGCCCGAAGCGTGGGATAGGATCTGCGCAATCATGTTTTCGAGAAGAATCTCTTGATGAGCATCTGCATAAGCCGGGTCAGCCTTCCACAGGATGCACAGCGCATGCTGACTGTCGGGAGACATTGGCGCAGGCGGAGGGAGTCCATGGAGTCTCAGTAGAATGGCAGAGGCAAGACCAAGAACCAATTAATAATTACAATAGGCGTCGCGGGCCACCATGCCGACGTTGAGCCAAACCGCCATGACGTGTGAAGTGAAATGAATGCGCCAGAAATCCGTAGGACCAAAGAAAGCAATGACAGACTAATGACGATGAAGATCATCCAGACCATGTGAAGATCATCCCCCCACCCCACCCCAACCCACCCCCAAAGTGTTCAAACTTTGCCGAAAAACGGGCGGCGAGGGAGCCGCCTGCCAAAAACAAGGACACCAGAAACGTCCCCTTCCCAAATGGACCATAGACTCAATCTTGCCTCCAAGTGGTTTTGCTTGAGCTCGGTCGTTTCCTTCGCGCCTGCCTGGCTCAATAACTACCCATTTAAAGCGTTTTTTGGCTCTGCTCCTCGCCTTCCTGGGACGCCTTCTGCTGCCTCTGTAGCTCCTCGAGCGCCTCGTTCACGTCCATCGGGCCCGCTCCGAGCGAGCCGCAAGGGGAGGGGGGGGTTTTCGGGGGAAAGGAAGCGGGGGGGAAGCTGGCTTGAAACTCGTTTGAGTGAGAGAGTTAGCTTGATTCATTTTTCCATTGATTCTTTCTGAGTTAGCTTAATCCCTTTTTTCATTGATTCGTTCCTTCTTTGTTTCGTTTTTTTCTTTGCTGCTCTCTTTCGTTTGGGGCTGTCGCTCGATATACCGTGCCAGTGGCGAGTTAGTGTCTAGTTGCCCGCTGGCGGATCTTTGGCCATGCGAAACAAACATCGCTCCGCGTCTGAAGCGCCGAGTTCGGCGGGCACCCTCCTTGGGTTGTCAATTGGTACCAATGGCAACCATACAAGGGCACGCGGCACAGGTACAAATGGACCAATTTAGGGTGCTGGTCTGTTGGGTGGAGATACGTAAGCGCTTCTTTTTCTTATTCGGACATGAGCCAGGGAACGGAAAACTATCAGCAGACATCACAAGCGCGTGAAAGCTCCAAGGATGCTTGCGACATGAGCACCAGTCGGAGGAAGTTCGCCGATTTTTTGGGGGCAAGCTGATACGTCAAAGGTATCTCCCTGAGGCTCCGCCGGCTTTGCGGTTGAAGCCAAAGCTGCGGGGCCATGCGAGGGGTTTTCTCGAACAAAACACGGGCCCGACAAATGGGCGGCGCGCTTTTCTGCTTTTTGGAGGGTAGCCGGTTTCTGTGGTTTTAAGCAGGGAAGCCAGCACTGGGCTCAGAGGAAGAACACCAAAGCAAAGATGTGAACTTGGACTGAGGGTGCTGTTCAAGTGGAGAGCGCCCGTTCTTCGGCATTGGAAGGTGCATCATGATGGCTCGCCCTCCACGTCCAACTTGCACACCGGATTTGTTGAAAAGAACCAGTGTGTTGGCGGATTTCGACAAACTTTTGCACTAAAAATTGCACACTTTTGCCACGGAACGACACTGAAAAGAACAGTTGCACACCGGTTCTTCCATGTGCTTCAAGTGAAAAGGCGTCAGGGCTGGCCATGATCCGTGGCCAGCGGTCTCACAGGGTGCCAACCTAAACCAACCCACAGCCATGATCAAAAAGACGTGGCAGCTGGATGTGGGTTGGTTTAGGTGCTAGGATGCCAACCTAAACCAACCTACCTAAACCAAGACATAATCCAAAGGTTGAAGGATCCTTCGCACAGCTCGCTTAAACGTGGACACATGTCGCTCACTTTGCTGACAGCTTTGTCCAGTTGCCGTCTGACCCCTTTGGAACATACCTGCCCCTCGGAACACGCGGGCAGGCAAAGAGGGAATCTTCCCTTGGACCACCGCCCTGGAGCCCTTCGGAGGGAGTTCCTTTCGGCTTCCCATCTTTTCCTTCGAGGGCTGGGACTTCGACGGACACCTGTGAAGATATGGGGACCAAAAGGCCACAACAGGCCACTCCTCCCTCAAAGAAAACAAAAAGCACGCCCCATCACCTACACAAATGGCACACCCGCCCTGGCAGAAATGAGATGTTGAAAAGAGCGAAACACCAAACAAAAACACATACACAGATTCTACCTCCCAAGCGAAGGAGACGATCCTGAAAGGCGAACACAATCCCACAGACCAATGGGTTCGTCTTTTTGTCGGGGCCCCGAAAATGGCGGTTCACCTTTTCGTATTCCCTTTGAAATCGCCAAGAAAGGGGTGCCCACTCAAAAAGAAAGAGAGGCAGGCCCATATTTCGGAACGCGAACTCGCCCAGTTGGTCCAAATGTCCACCTGGAGTCTCCATGACCGAAAAAGGTACATGACGCCATTCTGCAGGGCAATGAAGCCTAGCTATCAAAAAAAAGGCGACCGCGCCATTCGCGCCGCTTTGTGCAACCCCAGGCCAGCGACGCGAGGAGGGGTCGCCCGAGCCAGGGTCTGCCTCCCCCGCGTCCGGGCCCTGGTACTCTAAGAGCTGCTGCAGGCCCTTGGCCAGACAGGGCCTGGCATCGAAGGGATCCCCGAACGCTTCAAGTTGGGCGGGGGGAGGGGTGGATGGGGGGTGGTGGACGGTGGGGAGGGGTGGATGGGTGTGGGGTGGTGAGGGTGGGGGTGGGGTGTGTGGGTGTGTGTGTGTGTGTGTGTCAAAACGACTAAAGACTCACCCATAGAACGCGGGTGTCTCGAAACGGTGGCTTTCCTTTTGATGTCTATTTACATCGACCTAAACAAGGGCAGCGTGGTCCCAACTCAGTTGTTTCCACCCCAGTTTTGGGAAGGTATCTTCCCATAAAGTAACCTTAAAGACTCCATGTTGGATTTGTTTAAGGAGCACGCGCCCCAAAAAGGAGCTCCAGCTTACACCTTCCGAGGCTCGCCCGTAAGTAAACGGCTTTCTGATGGCATGCAAGGTGCAGGCGATGAAACCAATGGTGCGAATCAGTTGCCTGTCAATGTGAACCTGGTCCATGGCTGCATTGCCATCGCCTTGCTCAACAGACCACAAGCACCAGCCATAAGAGAGTTGCAGGCAAAGGCACCAAAACGAGGTATCTAACATCTCTGGCAGGCTTCAAGTTTTGAACCAGGATTCCCTCTCTTTTCTCCTCGAACATCAACCGCATCAACCCCCCGATGGATACCCACGTCAGAAAATGGAACGCAACCCGCATATGAATTTGCTTTGTTGATGGTACCCGTGGTTTCAGAAGCAGCTTTTTGACCATGAAAAGTCGAAGTGTCCAAATGTCAAAAGTCAAAATGTCCACAAACTCATACGCGCGCCCCTCCCCCTACGGGCAAACTGTCAAGTCGAGCCTACGCGGTGCCTACGTGACAAGCTCCCCAGCACAAGGTGGCTCGTGCAAGCAATATGCCTCAGCGGGCCCTGATATGTGCACGCTCCTTTTGTCCCTTTACTATACTGAGAAAGAAAAAAAACTGAGATCAAATGGTTCACAAATAATACTTTTAGAAGACTTCGTTTCCATTCAAGAAACTGCACTTAGAAGACTTTTGCACTTGGGCATGGCACTGGCTTGATGAGCGGGTTGCGTCAAACACATGCGGGGACTATCAGAGCACCAAAAGAAGGCGCGGCGGTTCAACAAAAACGGCTCGATCTCATGGTGGTTCAACAAAAAATCACAACGAACCATCTCCACAATCGCTGTGGAAGAAATTCTGTGGCAAGGAGTGTGTCGGTTGCTGGTTCCGTTTGCCCCTTCTTGTTCTGGTTGCTTTGACGGCCCAGCCCGCGACTTCCGGCCGGGGCTTTATGAAAAAAGATAAACATTAAGGGCGAATGCCTAGTTGTGGAGTCGGAAGGCCTAAATAGAATCCAACAGTCCCCAAAGTGCGGGAATTTGTACCTGGCTTCACTCCAGAAGTTAACCCACCTGGCGCCTGACCCCCGGCAAAGGCCTCACCATGGCCAGCTCTTCCAGCCCGGGCTCAGGCGCAGAAGCGCCTGGCCGGCGCTTGAGGCGCGAGGGGCGCGTGGCGCGCGCGGAGGCCATGGAAAGCCCAGTGGGGCGCGTCCTCTTTGCCCCGTTTGGGTCGGTGAGCTGTGTCCAAACCTGAGGTGCGTTTCCACTAGGCTCGAATTAGGCCAGCAAAAAACAAAAAACTGGTTAGTGGAAAACAAAGGGACCCAAAAAAAGCAAAAAAAAAAAAGGAGGTAATTCTGGGGAAGTCCAGATGGTTGCCTGGTTGGGTCGGTCAGGTGTTTCCAATCCTAAGGTTTGTTTCCAGATGGACGGGAAAGAGGGGGAGATAAAAGAAATTGTGAGGTTACCCGACGTTGGAGGATGGGTTCTTGCAAGCTTGATTAAGGGAGTCTGATCGAAGAATTCTGCAAATCTTGCTGGGTGCGGAGTCCTCACGAAGGCGTTGCTGGATGTTGGGCGACTAAGTAACTGAATGTCTTGGAGCAACTGAACTGTCAAATCCGTCAAGCGCGCTTCAGCAACACTCATGCGAAATACAGGGTTCACCGTAGAGTATTCAATGGCCTAAAGACTGTCCAGATTCATCTTTGGCGAGGCGGTTTGGCAGAAAGGCCACATCATTGCAAAACCCTGGCATCAGCTTTCATCAGAACCCGTCACCTTCCGAAACCCTGCAGCCTCACTTCCTGAGTGGACTGGCCAAAGAAAGTCCAAACGTTTTCCCAAAAAGCTCAAAGCCCATGACTCAAGGAGTGAGCAGCAGTTGAAGTACATGAAAACCCAATTGAGTGGCTTTCGCGGTTTCCGCCTAGATGCCTCAGCAGCAGGCTGTAGAGCACTGGAGGGAAGGAGACCTGTCCAGTTGAGTGGCGCCCCTTTTTTCACCCATTGACGTTCGGTTCTACCAAAATGGCCATGGGTCAAAAGCCAAATCGTACCCCCAGTGAACATCCCAATCCCCACTAAAATAGTTAGACTAGAATGTCTGGTGCACCTACCCCAAAATGGTACCATTGGTTTTGACCAGCCAAATGGTTGCGGTTTATACTGGCCCCATGAGACCAAGTAGAACCACCTGACGCAAATGGCGCTTTTGGGGCGTTGGAAAGCTGCTCAGCCGGTGACCCTGGTAGAAAACGGGAAACTGTTTGGGGTTGACCAGTTGTGGGGAAAGGTGCATTTTCGGACGCCAACTTTCAGAAGACGTAGTCCCGTAAACTGAGTTTATGTTGGCTTCAATCCAGAATACGTATTACTTGGGTAGTGGAGGTCCCGGAGAAAAAACAAAATCTTTCTAGTACTTTGGAGATGCCACTTTGACGGACCTAAGGCACAAGCCCTCCTTTGATCAGTGGCTCGGGTCCCGAGCAGAGCTTCACAAAAACTCTGTCTTAGGTCTCAACCGGCTCAGGTCTTAGCAAAAAAATACAACAACTCGCCGGAAAAAGAAAGGAGAAAAAGGACAACGCGCAAAAAACAGTTCGCTTCAAGAACCCCATGGCTTCAACTTTAATCATGTGGGTGGCTCGACTGTCTGTTGAGGTCACCCCACCCCCCTTTTTGGGTGGTTTTCAAGGGAACCATCTGGGCAACCGAATTCAGAAAAATTGTGCTATCACCCAAATGGGCCGCCCTGGCCGCCTTTCGCAGGCACGAAAAGCTAGAGGGTCGGATTTCGAGGCCCGCACACCGCTTCGTCTCGAAATGGCGAGCCGATGTTTTCCCCTTAAGCCATTGTCAAACATCCCTTAGGGGTTGATGACCATCCCATGCCCAAGAAAGAGAAAAAGCTTTTTATTCAGGAAAAATGGCAAGGAGTTCCTTGTGGCTTCCCTGTCAGACCACTCCCTTTCAGGGTTCCCTCGAAAAAACCAAAGCCAAAGACACTGCGCAAAGACCGGGCCGACCTGCAGCCGCGTGCCCGTGACGAGGGCCTACGATTTCGAGCGAAAGGCTGATCCGGGGGTTGGGGGGATTTGGGCTCCAAAGACCCGCAGAAAACGAAAAACAAATGCCTAGGTAGCGCGCCAAGTTGCCGCTTTTTTCAGTCACCGTTGCTGGTTGTTGGGGTAAAGTGGATGGAAAAAAGTAGCTGCTTGCGATCCAGGTGGTTGGGAAATGGAACAAGGATCCCAGACCATGTGTTTGTTGAAAATAGGCGCTTCCATGGTTTGCCTTTGCTTGGGCTCGGTCGAAACATTGGTCGGGAGAGCGAAGGAAAAAGATCCAAGACCTTTTTTAGCTTTGTGGTTTGGCAGGCCTACATGAGGACCCCTCCGCAAAGCCTTCAATTTGCATCCCCTCATCTAAAACAGCCAGATGCAAATAGCATCCAGTCACCGCTTTGTGGACGCTTCCTCCCGGCGCAAGGCCGCGCGCTTCCAAGCCATCCCAACACATGGAAAAACATGACCGGGATCCTCACTTAACCAAACCAGTCGATTTTGCAACCTCCTTCTCTGGGGTACTGCTTGTTTGGTTTGGAACAGCTTCTACCGCCAATCCAACTATCCTGGAAGTGGGTTCCAGAAACTTCTCCAAAAGCCCTTACGGACCTTGCGATCGTCAGCTTTCATAGTTGGGGGGGAGTTTGTGTGGTGTTCAGAAAAGCGGACCCGTCCTTAAAATGTAAGTTTTCTCGGTGGTGTTCCCGTTAATGCCAACAAAGCGACCGAGCCTCGACACGCCATTCATACCAAACTCCCAAGCAAAAGGCCAGAAAACCTCCCAAACTCCCAACCAAAAAGCCAGAAAACCTCCCAAACTCCCAGGAACCACCAGAAACCCCCTGCTCCCCGGTGCCAGGCAGCCCCCCTTCGACCCCCCCCGTTGCCCCGTCTCTTCGACCTCGCCTGCGCCAAGAGCACGCCGCAGGCCTCGAAGAGGCGGCGGCGGCTTTTGCTGGGCGGCAGCTCGGCGAACCAGAAGGTCCTCCAGGCGCCGGATTTTTGTTCGGTCTCTCTTTTGCTTTTTGGAAAGACGGGCACCCCAAAAAAAACAAAAAGGGCGCGGATTGATTGCGCTTTTTCTAAACAAAAAGGGCGCGGATTTATGTCGTTTTTTTCTTCTCCGTTTTTGGGCGGTTTTGGGGGAAAATACACCTCCAAAAACCAAAAAGGGTTGGCTTCAAGGGAATTAAATGGACAACCCACTAGTTTTTTGTGGGGGGGGGAGAGGGGGGCCTCGGTAACCCTCTTTTGGGGGTTGGTTTCCAGGGAAGCCAAAGGGGAAACCCGCGATTTTTCGCTAGGGGGGGGGTCGGTACCCCTCTTTTGGGGGTTGGCTTCAAGGGAAGCCAAAGGGACAACCGCCTTTTTTTTGTTTTGGGGGGATCCTATTTTAAGACACCCAACTGGCCCCATTTCACCAGTTGTCACCCCCTTCCTTCCCTGCAATCGATTGGAGGGTGTCGGAAGGCAAAAGATGGCAAAAGCTTTCCTTTTGGGAACCCCTCCAACAACCACTGCCATGGTTGTTCAAGGGATGGTAAGTGATAGGGGAAATAACCCCCAACTGCAAATGGTCTGTCAGAATCTGGACAGCGTAAGCAAGCCTTGAACAGCCATAGGCGGCTGGGTCCGGGTTTGGGTTGGTGACTTGTCGCTCATCCCCATTGCCGGGAGGGTGCTGAAAAGCCAACATCCGCACGAATACCACGGAGGGCGCGCTTGAAAGATAAGCCTCATTCCTTCAGGAAAAGAGGGCGGCGCTGTCCATGGCAGCTTGTTTAGACTGGGTTGGGAAACGGCACCCTGCCCCTTTCATGAAGGAACCTGGCAGCATTGCCGAGTTTCGCCAATTGCGAGTGGTCCAAGCTCCAGCCCAAAAATCTCTTGCTCGGGCAAAACACCTGTTGGCTCCCGATTGGAGAAGGCGCTTCCATAAAATCGGAGCGCCCAGCTCCCTTCCACCGGAACGCAACGGCCCCTTTCTCAGGGCATTTCAACCAAAAGGCCCAGCTCTGGACCCAGACCTTCGTAGCTAAATACGTGGCTTCCCCGAGTCACCAACCCCATTGGGGACAATATCGGCCAAATCCGGCTTTCTGGGTCCGACGACGCTTGGTCCCTTTCACTACAGGATTGATTCGTGTCCTCTTATTTTCCAAACCAAAAAGACATACAAATAAATGCAAGAAGGATCAAAACGGGGGTCCCCATAGTTTGTGAGCAAGACCCCAGAAACGCGTGGGGACCCTGTTGTGGACCTCATTTGCACGTGGATTTTCCCCCCAGAAAACCTTCTTGACGCCCGGCAGAAGGCGGTCCTGGACTCTGCTTCGTAGTCCCAGAGCGGCTGGCCCTCCTGCAAAGTGCGGAAGGAATTACATTCTGAGCTGTCCTCAGATCACCGGCTACTGTAAAAGTGAATATTTTTTAGTGGGCTAAAATGGAAAAAACAAACTAAACATAAAAAAGCCGCTAAGAGTTTAAGCTGTCCAAGGTCCTTTGTTACAACAATATTCAAGACCCCGGGGCACTGCTTTGACTGCTCTGGGGAGCGCACATTAAACAAGGCCCAAGATTGCCCTATCACCCACTAAAAGTGAATAACTTTTAGTGGCCGAAATGGAAAACCAACCACTAAACACTAAAAAGATCTAAAAAGCCAAGGATCCGAATGGCTGGGACCATTGCGAAGCTCGGGAAACCAAAAGTCAGTCCCAGCTGGGCGAACTGGGAGATGGCCGAAATCCATTTCGCACCACTATGAGACCATGGGAAGCCATAACGTTTGTTGGTATTTCCAGGGGAATCGAATCATTTTAGGGTTTCTTGGGTGGTGCGAAATGGATTTCGTCCATCCACAGTAATAACCCCCTTTTTGAGGGCTTATCCTTGGCTCATCCTTGGCTTATCCTGGGCTTATCCAGGGACAGCCCCCCCTAGGGGCCATGAAAAAGTTGGTGGTTTGGATTGGTGGTTTGGAGGTTGCAGCAACGACTCGACACCTCCGCATCTGTTGTTTTCACGTTTTGAGTTTCCAAATCGGACAATCCGACCTGCTTCAACCAACAGGCTAAAGTCCAAAGATCCAACCAAATGGCTGTAAAGAACTGACACCAGTGTAAAGTTTTGTTGGAGCGGGGCTTTTTAGGCCCCCGCTAAGAGATTGATGCCAGTGAGAGACATCGATGCCACAACCGCCGATGTCTGCGAAAGAAAGAAAGAAAGAAAGAAAGAAACAAAGCAAGAAAGAAAGCAAGAAAGAAAGCAAGAAAGCAAGAAAGAAAGAAAGAAAGAAAGAAAGAAAGAGCAGTTGCTGGGACGAAAAAGGTCATAAGCTGAACCAGAACCAAAGACTGGAATTGCTGCTCAAAAAGCTCTGCTCAGGCTTCACATGGGCGTCTGCCGAGGTCACCTTAACAGAGTGCAAGAGGGAAAGCATGAGCTCCAGAAGCTTCTGCGCGTCTTGACAAAGGATTCGCAGGAAGGGGCGACTCCCCTGAATAATGTTGGACCTCCTTTAGGAATAGTACCCGCTGACTGGTTCCACTGTTCCGGCGAAAACGCGGGGGCGGGGGCCGTGTAAAGAGGCTCCAACATTTGACCCCAGGAAACCCCAGGAAAAGGGTTCTCTGCAGGTACCTCGCCATGGCCGCGGATCTCATCTTGGCCAGAGGCCGCTCTGAGGCATGCGTCAGACACGCTTGCCGAGTGCGACAGCCGCAACAACCATCCGTCCCGGCGCGACCGAAACCCGGACTCATGGAGTCTGGTTCAATTCACGCGAGGGATCTAATGTTGACCTACGATTAGTAAATAGACCATGAATAATGCTGACCGATTTCAAAAAAATAATAAATATACCATGAATAATGCTAACCGTTTTTTCCCAGGGGAAAAAATATGAAAAAAATGAAAAATAATATAAAGTAATTCAAACAAATAACCTTCCCCCCACAAGAGTGAATGAATCCTGAGTTCCCAAGCTCACAAAAGAACATAGAATTCCCATTGGGATCCATGCAAAATGAAGATTTTTATTCAGGGTCAGTGCTCCCAACCCTCATCCCCCATGGAATTTGCATGGTTTCATAGTGAATTTATCCAGGGATCATGCCATGATTTACCATGGGATTTCCATGCTTCTGGCATCTAATCTTTATTCAGGGTCAGTGCTCCCAACCCTCATCCCCCATGGAATTTGCATGGTTTCATAGTGAATTTATCCAAAAATCATGCCATGATTTACCATAGGATTTGCATGCTTCTGGCATCTAATCTTTATTCAGGGTCAGTGCTCCCAACCCTCATCCCCCATGGAATTTGCATGGTTTCATAGTGAATTTATCCAGGGATCATGCCAGGGAAACCTGATTTACCATGGGATTTGCATGCTTCTGGCATCTAATCTTTATTCAGGGTCAGTGCTCCAAACCTCATCCCCCATGGAATTTGCATGGTTTCATAGTGAATTTATCCAGGGATCATGCCAGGGAAACCTGATTTACCATGCGATTTGCATGCTTCTGGCATCTAATCTTTATTCAGGGTCAGTGCTCCCAACCCTCATCCCCCATGGAATTTGCATGGTTTCATAGTGAATTTATCCAGGGATCATGCCAGGAAACCGAATTTACCATGGGGTTTGCATGCTTCTGGCATCCAATCTTTATTCAGGGTCAGTGCTCCCAACCCTCATCCCCCATGGAATTTGCATGGTTAGGAAACCTGATTTACCATGGGATTTGCATGCTTCTGGCATCCAATCTTTATTCAGGGTCAGTGCTCCCAACCCTCATCCCCCATGGAATTTGCATGGTTTCATAGTGAATTTATCCAGGGATCATGCCAGGGAAACCTGATTTACCATGGGATTTGCATGCTTCTGGCATCTAATCTTTATTCAGGGTCAGTGCTCCCAACCCTCATCCCCCATGGAATTTGCATGGTTTCATAGTGAATTTATCCAGGGATCATGCCAGGGAAACCTGATTTACCATGGGATTTGCATGCTTCTGGCATCTAATCTTTATTCAGGGTCAGTGCTCCCAACCCATCCATCCCCCCTGATGGAATTTGCATGGTTTCATAGTTTGCATGGTTTCATAGTGAATTTATCCAGGGATCATGCCAGGGAAACCTGATTTACCATGGGATTTGCATGCTTCTGGCATCTAATCTTTATTCAGGGTCAGTGCTCCCAACCCTCATCCCCCATGGAATTTGCATGGTTTCATAGTGAATTTATCCAGGGATCATGCCAGGGAAACCTGATTTGCCATAGGATTTGCATGCTTTTGGCACTCAATCAATCTTTATTCAAGGTCAATAATCACTCTCAATGCTCATCTCCCTCCCTCTCCCCCTCCCCCCATCCTCCAAGAGCAGCAGTAGCAAATGACCACCACCACCACCACCATACCACCACCACCACCACTACCACCACCACAATCCCTTTCAGCCCTGGTCCTTCAATCTTGGGCACCTTATTCGCGAGGAATGCCTCCTTCTTCATCCAGTAGGCAAATGCCTTCATGGCAATGCACCTCAGGCATCCAGTCTGAAATCTGCATTTGCTGCATGGTGCTAATCTTGTCTCAGCCATCCTGATCTCCATGCTTGCCTCATGGCTCAAATCTGATGCCCTGAAGAACTTGCTGTTCTCATTCATTGCCTGCATTGCTACTAATGCTGAATGACACTTCATGTCCTTCAATTTCTTCAATTTCTCATTGGCTGCTGCATATGCATCATCCTGCTTCTTCTTCAGATTGTATGCTTTCTTCTCAATGTCCTGCATATGCTGATGTAGCTTGCTGGATTCTGTGCTCAATACCTTCTTCATCTTCTGCATTCTGATCTGCCATTCCTCCTTGATTGCCATTGGCCATCCCCTAGATGCTGGGCCTTCAACATGGGTGCATGCCTCAATCTCCATGTATGCAATGACAAAATATCCACAATCAGCTCCTTTCTGGCGAACATGGTTCCTGCATTCCAGTTTGATATTTGCTGCATTCTCTCCTTCAAACAGCTTCACAATCTCATGGGCATACTTCAGGCATTCAGGATGTCCACCTTCCAAGGTGTCATAGTAATGCCACTGATCCCCTTTCTTCACCAATAGGGTCCAATGCTTGGGCGCTCCATGGGCAGGGATTGGGATGCACAAAGTATCAACACCTGATGCACAGTCCAGGATTTGCCCCTTGACCAACTCATAGCCAGCCTCATCCATCTCAGTCATGTTCACAGTCAGCTTTCCCATCAATGCTGGATCCAAGCACTGCACAGACTCAGGAATGTTCAATTGCCACTGCATCCATGCCCATGCCAATACAATGTGCTGATCTTCCAGGTATGTGTCTGCATCTATCCCAAGCAAGGGGTATGTTGTATCAACAAATGGCTCTGGATGGGCAGCTATTGCTTGCAGCTGCTTTGCAATGATGCCCTTGTGATATACTGAAAGGTCCTGTATGCTCTGGGTTTCTTCCATGTTGCATCTTCCAGCATCAGGAACTCCATCTGTGTGCTAATGACACCCTTCTCTGTCATGATGCTTGCTGTGCCATCCTTGACATTGGACACACTCCCTGATCTTCCATACTTCAAGGGGCCTGCCTTTTCTGATACCACTCTCACACCCTTCCCAATCCAATCATGGAGCTCATCACCAATTGCATCATCACTTTTCTTTGCTGGGATGTCCTTCTTCAAGCCTTGAACTCCAATTTGCTTGACTTCTCAGCCTCCTTCTTCATCACTGCCTTCTTATCTGCCTTCTTCTTCACTGATGGCTTTGCTATCATGCTTGGCTTTGAGCTTGCTGATGGCTTGCTTGCAATGCTAAGCTTCTTCTTCTTCTTCATTTTTGCTAGCATTGAGCTCTTCAGCAATACCTTGCCAATCCTCTTCTTATTTGTGCTCTTGGCCACAATCTGTTCCAGTGCCTCTTTTTTGCTCATGCTGTCTAATAGCTTTTTGCTCATATGCTTCCTGGCTGATATCCTGATCAAGGGTCTGTGCACTGATTTGATCCTTGCTTTCTCATGGTCTTTCATGATGGTGGCCCATGTCGACTCAAGCATTCCTTTGTTGTAGAACTGCCTCCTCAACTTGGGGCTCATCCTGAGGAATAGGGAGTTCTGCATGGGCAGTATCATCTCTTCATTGAGCTCATGCACAATGTCCACTGCATCCTTCTCCTCATCTAGCTTCTCATCCTTCACAGGATCCTGTCCTTCCTTCTTCTTCTGGTGCTCATCTGTCTGATCATCTCCTTCTTGATCAGGTTCAGGATGGCAGTTGGACCATTCTATCAAGTCAGTGATGGCTGCTGCATCGTTGCTGATGGAA